GCTGAGGGAGGGTGGCGTTTGTGCACAGACTGCCCTATATGACATCATAACAACAGTCTGGACCACTGGACGGGTTCCGCAGGACTGGAAGGATGCCCTGGTGGTCCCCCTCTTTAAGAAGGGGGACCGCACAGACTGTAACAACTACAGGGGCATCTCACTCCTCAGTGTGCCGGGTAAGGTCCTGGCAAGGATTATTCAACATCGCCTTGCTAGGCACGCTGAGGAGGGGCTTGCGGAGCCCCAATGCGGTTTCAGGAAAGGGCGGTCCTGCACAGATGCCATATTTTCTGTCCGTCTGCTACAGCAGAGGTGTAGGGAATTCCAAAAAGACCTACATCTCTGCTTTATTGACCTGGTCAAGGCCTATGATACCATCAGTAGGACTGGACTCTGGGTTGTTCTTCGTGCTTTCGGAGTCCCTGACCCTCTGCTCACGATCATTAAGGACCTTCATGATGGTGAGCGGGCCCGGGTAAAACTACGTGGCCGGGAGTCGGAGCCTTTCCCTGTACACCTTGGGGTGCGACAGGGATGTCCTCTGGCTCCCACATTATTTAACATCTATTTTGACCGCGTAGTTCGTGAAGCCTTCAATAGCTGTACCGGGGGAATTTCCGTTTGGTACAGATATAATGGGAGGCTGATCGACGCCCGGGTGCGATCAAGGGATGGCTCCCTATTGGTCAACCACGTTATGTATGCCGATGATTTGGTAATAGCTGCTCATTCAGAAGAGGAGTTGGAGGCGCTGCTGCTGAGACTGGAGCGTGCCACTAAGAGGTGGGGCCTTACCATCAGCCCCACCAAAACCAAGCACCTGCCTGGGTATTTTGTACCATCGGACACTCCACCCCCACAACTCCCAATTGGTGATGGGGCAGTTGTGGAGAGAGTGGAGAGTTTCCCATACCTGGGCAGTATGCTTATGACCGGCTCCAGTCTATCAGCAGAGGTCTCACTCCGAATCAGTCGAGCGGCAATATCTTTCATCGGTTGCGTAACGCTGTGTGGAAGCTACCTGGTCTGTCGCTCCGCACGAAGCTTCAGGTCTTCTCGGCCACGGTCATTCCCTCCCTTCTCTACGCTTGCGAGACGTGGACCCCCCTGGTGGAGCATCTTCGCCGGTTGGAAACATTTAGGCTGGCCTGCCTACGATCCATCCTGGGTTTAACCAGGCTGGATTGTGTGAGGAGCTCACAAATCCTTGAAAGATCTGGGCAAAGTCCCATCAGTGAGCTCCTCCGGCAGGCAAGGCTGCGTTGGCTGGGTCATGTAGCCCGCATGCCCAGCCACCGCATGCCTAAACAGCTTTTGTTCGGCCGGATCGAGGGGGCTAGACGGGCGCGGCACGGGCTGGAGAAGAGATGGAGTGATGTGGTACAGGAGGACGTGGAGCTGAGTGGACTTGCCGATGACTGGTACCAGCGGTGTCAAGATCGGCCTCAGTGGAGGAGGCTCGTGAAGGACGCTACTGGGCAGTTGGAGGCAGTCGCCCTCCAACAACAACGGAGGGCGGAGGAGCGACGCTCACAACAACGAGCGGAGCGCCGGGTGGCTAAAGCACAGCAAGTTGGCACAGTAGGGGGCACAGGTGGTGCATCAGCCAGTCATCTCGGTCATCTCGGTCAGTCGACCAGTGGCACCTGGGTCTGCCCCGTGACCTCCTGCCAGCGGGCTTTCGACACTTCACGTGGCCTCAAGGTGCACTTGGCCTGGCACAAGCATCGTGGTGACGTCACCGCCACTTAGTGGCGAATGGCGGTTGTTGTTGTTGTTGTGTCTGTCTGTGTGTGTGTGTATCTGTGTGTGTGTGTCTGTGTGTGTGTCTGTGTGTATGTGGGTGTATGTGTGTGTCTGTGTGTGTCTGTGTGTGTGTGTTTGTGTGTGTATCTGTGTGTGTGTCTGTGTGTGTCTGTGTGTGTGTCTGTGTGTGTGTGTCTGTGTGTGTCTGTGTGTCTGTGTGTGTGTGTCTGTGTGTGTATCTGTGCGTGTGTGTCTGTGTGTGTATCTGTGTGTCTGTGTGTGTGTGTCTGTGTGTGTGTCTGTGTGTGTGTGTCTGTGTGTCTGTGTGTGTATCTGTGTGTGTGTCTGTGTGTGTCTGTGTGTGTGTCTGTGTGTGTGTGTCTGTGTGTGTCTGTGTGTGTGTCTGTGTGTGTGTCTGTGTGTGTGTCTGTGTGTGTGTGTCTGTGTGTGTCTGTGTGTCTGTGTGTGTGTCTGTGTGTGTGTGTCTGTGTGTATGTGTGTCTGTGTGTGTGTCTGTCTGTGTGTGTGTGTCTGTGTGTGTGTGTCTGTGTGTGTGTGTCTGTGTGTGTACACTGTGTACACAGACACAGTGTACACACACACACACACAGTGTACACACACACAGTGTACACACACAGTGTACATACACACAGTGTACACACACACACAGTGTACACACACACACAGTGTACACACACACACTGTGTACCCCGCTCTGTGACATCCCCACTCAGCATTACGTCATCCGCGTGAAACGCCAGGGGGAGGTGTACCTCGCTAGTGACGTCATGTCACCAAGAATTCCACCCCCCTCCCCCCCGTCCCCCGCGCTCTTGAACGTGACGTCACCTCCGCCTCGTTCACTGCAGACGTCGTTCCAGTTGCCAATCCTTATTTGGGCAAAGCCACGCCCAGTGACGGGCGGCTCATTAACATAAAGAGTCCGTTAATGACGTCACGAGCTTATCGCGACGGTCTCATTAACATAATTTATTCATATTCTCATTTATTGTGGGAGGAGCCTGTCTCGTACGCGGGAAGTGACGTCACGTCACCTACTACCGCGTGACGTCACGAGGCGACAGGAAGCTGTCGCTAATGGCGTGCAGTGAAGTCCGAGGTGAGAAATTCTCATCGTTGTGGTGGTTGTTGTTGTGGTTGTTGTTGTGGTTGTTGTTGTTGTTTACCAAGGTAGAGCCTCGCTCTCTCTCTCGTAGGGACGTCACTAGAGCAGCAGCAGCAGCTTGTGAATCCCTGTCCAGCTTGGAGCTTGACTACGCGGGGCCTAGACACGCGAGGCCTTGCCTCCTGCCCTCGCCTGATCGCGTTTGCTTTAATTCTCTCGCTTAAGTTTAATTTGTCTTCACGCGGCTCGCTACTTTGTCACTTTGGTTTATTGTAGATATTTACGCAGTTTTTTTTTTCGTTTTTTTACAGCCCAAGCCCGCTTGAGCTGCTGTACCGCTCTTGTTTACAGAAGCTACCTGCCCACAACAACAACAAGGTGGGTGGGTGGAGGTTTTGTCAACGCGTGTGTCTCAATGTTTTGACTTAAAACTTTCGTAACTGCAGCAATTCATATTCGTAAAGTCACGGAGATAGAAAATAAACTAACAGATAAAGATATTAAATTAAATAAAAAATTGAAATTAAAGCAAAAAAACCCACGACGTTTTGACCGCAACACAGGTGGTCTTTCTTTAATTTAATTATCTGTTAATTGTATTTGCTATCTACGTGACTTTACCGAAAGAACCAAGACTACGTGTGTCAATGTCTGTCAAACACGCTGAGCGCGTGCTGATGTTGATTCTAAATGTGGAGGGGACAAGCCCTGCTGCTGTTGACCATGGCACTGTGACTGTGTGTGTGTGTGCCAGTGTGAAGTCTATTCACTCTGTTGAACACGCACGTTATGTCAAAACAATATTATATCTTCTTGCTTCTTTCGGTAAAGTCACGTAGAAGGGAAATAATACAAATAAAACATACTAAAATAATATAACAATATACTAAAATATTAAAATAATATGGTCATATAATATTATATTTCAATGTAAAGCTTTCGTGACTGCAGGGATTCATCTTCTTGGTTCTTTTGGTAAAGCCACGTAGAAGGGAAATAACAAAATAATACAAATAAAACATAATAATATAAAATATTGTATTAGTTTTATTTTATTATTTCCCTTCTACGTGACTTTACCTAAAGAACCAAGAAGATGAATCCCTGCAGTCACGAAAGCTTTACATCAAAAGTTAAATTTCAGTTTAGTCTATGGGTCTCAACCATGTGTCTCTGTGGGTCTTTATGTGTATCTGTGGGTTTCTATGTGTCTCTGTGGGTCTCTGTGTGACTCTGTGGGTCTCTATTAATCTCCATGGGTCTCTATTCATCTCGCTGTATCTCTATGGGTCTCTATGTGTCTCTGTGGGTCTCTATTAATCTCCATGGGTTTCTATTAATCTCCATGGGTCTCTATTCATCTCGATGTATCTCTATGGGTCTCTATGTGTCTCTGTGTGACTCTGTGGGTCTCTATGTATCTCTATGGGTCTCTATGGGTTTCTATTCATCTCCATAGGTCTCTATTCATCTCGATGTATCTCTATGGGTCTCTGTGTGACTCTGTGGGTCTCTATGGGTTTCTATTAATCTCCATGGGTCTTTACTCATCTCGATGTATCTCTGTGGGTTGAAATGGAAACAGGAAGTTAACACAGCACACACGTGCAGCAGCAGAAGTCGGATCTGTTCATCCCCAGCATTTAAGGACATCTCAGCCTGGGTTCACACCTCTGAGTTACGATTGAACATTAATTAACGCATTTCTGCATAACACAAACAGTGTTGGTTTCAACACCCTTTGCGATGTCAGCTGAATTTTGCTCTCAGAAATATTCCTTTTGTAGCCAGACAGCCGAACTTGTGTGCTCGGAATTTTGGGTTCACATTCAGATTTATGACTATTTGCCCTCTCATTGTGTGCCATAAAAACACGTGTGATGAATTTGGGAAACTTTTTCACTACATCATGAATATATGAATAAGTATAGACGTGTAAGTCACGTGTGACTGTGTATATATGCATTCCGCTGTGTCTGACGTGTAGATGGTGTGGATTTTCTTTTTTTATGTCTGCAGCTGTCGCTTGGTCTGATGGAGCAAAGGCGCTCAGCACAGCTCGGTACGGAAAGGCAACAATGCGACCAGCGTGGATACAGCACGGAGCGGACTGTAAATTTGACACAGCACCAGAGAACACACACAGGAGAGAAACCCTTCAAGTGCACTGTGTGTGGGAAGGCATTTGCATGGCCATCAGTTCTTCAGATCCACCAGAGAACACACACAGGAGAGAAACCCTTCAAGTGCAGTGTGTGTGGGAAGGCGTTTTCACGGTCATTTGCTATTAAAACACACAAGAGAACACACACGGGAGAGAAACCCTTCAAGTGCAGTGTGTGTGGGAAGGCGTTTGCACAATCACCACATCTTCAAGCACACCAGAGAACACACACGGGAGAGAAACCCTTCAAGTGCAGTGTGTGTGGGAAGGCATTTTCACAGTCATCTTCTCTTATAAAACACCAGAGAACACACACGGGAGAGAAACCCTTCAAGTGCACTGTGTGTGGGAAGGCATTTTCACGGTCATCTTCTCTTAAAAAACACCAGAGAACACACACGGGAGAGAAACCCTTCAAGTGCAGTGTGTGTGGGAAGGCATTTACACAGTCATCAAATCTTAAAAAACACCAGAGAACACACACGGGAGAGAAACCCTTCAAGTGCAGTGTGTGTGGGAAGGCGTTTTCACGGTCATTTGCTATTAAAACACACAAGAGAACACACACGGGAGAGAAACCCTTCAAGTGCAGTGTGTGTGGGAAGGCGTTTTCACGGTCATTTGCTATTAAAACACACAAGAGAACACACACGGGAGAGAAACCCTTCAAGTGCAGTGTGTGTGGGAAGGCATTTTCACAGCCATCTTCTCTGATAAAACACCAGAGAACACACACGGGAGAGAAACCCTTCAAGTGCATTCCGTGCGGGAAGGCGTTTACACAGTCAGAACATCTTCAAGTCCACCAGAGAACACAGACGCATCAGAATATCCACAAGGAGTGGAGTCTGAAATCAGCTTGTGAAAGTCAAAGTGCCGCAATGAGCCCATCCCTCGTGAAACAAGAACCGGAAGAAAATCCCAGCTTGGACACTTTTAAAGGTAATGAGGTGAAATATGAAGAGGTGAAGGTGAAATATGAAGAGGTGAAGGTGAAGAGCGAAGAAGTGATGGTAAAATGTGAAGATGAAGATTCAACTCCAGAATGGGACCTTCACATCGATGGAGGCAACGTGAAGCAGGAGGAGAATTCTGACTGAGGCAGAGTGAGGCAACTCCAAGCATCTTCTTGGTTCTTTCGGTAAAGTCACGTAGAAGGGAAGTAATACAATAATACAAATAAAACATGATCAAATAATTCTCACGACGTTTCGGCCACAACGCAAGCAGCTGTCCTCAGGTGAAAGAACCAAGAAGATGAATCCCTGCAGTCACGAAAGCTTTAAATCGAAACTCCCAGCAGTTTGTGGAGGTGTGGCTGGACTTCCTAAGACAACACAAAGTCAAATTGAGACCCGGTAGATGATGTAAGCCGTGAGACGATGTCGCTGCATTAGATGCTCCTTTGTCACAGGCCTTTAATGACAATAACGTGAAGTTGAACACTCAGTTCCTAGGTTCAACCTGCAGGGTAAGAGCGAGTGGCCAGTTACTGCAGCTACATACTATTAACACTCCTTCCCTTTGTTAATGCTACCCCTATCCCCTTCCTTTGGTGCTGCTAATTCTGCATAATGCACGGGCATAAGTAGTACTAATCACATACCTGCATTTCTCATAAATATGCTAAATGCCTCTTGATTTGCAAATTCCTTTGTCAAGGCGCCCAGCTTATATATATGCTCCAAGCGCGTGTGCTGTTTCATTCAGACGCTGTCGCCTCGACAGACCTGGTTTTCACCTGAGGATGGCTGCTTGCGTTGTGGCCGAAACGTCGTGAGAATTGTTTATTGTGTTTATTATTTTATTACTTCCCTTCTACGTGACGACTTTACCGAAAGAAGCAAGAAGACAAGTGGCCAGTCTTAGTGGACCTGTGGGTTGGGTCAATCTCTCACCAGGAGCGAGAGCCAATCAGCCCCCAAGCATTCACGATGTTCTCATCATAATTGCTGTTACATGGCGCTTGTCTGAAACACTCGAAGAGCATCTGCAAGTAGCAGCTGCCCCTGTGTGGCACACGATGATTGATGTGTAATCTCAGCTGTGTCGTTAGTAGGTGATCTTGACTTGAAGCTTTCGTGACTGCAGGAATCCACACCCTTTAGTTCTTTTGGTGACGTCACGTGGGTCGAAAAATTATAGATCGCGGCGTTTCGATCGCAACGCAAGCGATTGTCATCAGGTGTGACAACCACCATCATCATCACCACCACCATCACCACTTTCACCATCACCACCACCATCACCACTTTCACCACCACCATCATCACCAACTGAGGTAGACGCCTACTTCAGCAGTTATTGACGTGGTCCCAGCTGATGGCGATTGCTTGCCTTGCTATCGAAACCTCGTGATCTATTATTTGTAGGTAATGTTTACAATTTGCTACGTTTTCACCCAGACGCCAGCATGCAATGGACTACTCGTTTTGAATGACACAATAGTATGTGTTAAAATAGCTTCTTGTTAATACGTTGTTACCTGATGCAGTATGTTTCGCTGCAGTAATTCAATTTTGTTAATATGCCTGTCAATAATTTAGAATGAATACTTGTCTGATTGTGCGTGTACATGTAACAGTTTGTCTGTGAGGGTCAAACATGAAGTGTTCAAATCTAGAGTGATTAAGTGATGTTAGGACAAAGTGTGTGTGTCTGGAAGTAACCTGTACAGATCACTCAGGCGAGATCATTCATCAGTTACAAGGCATACCACTTTAAAG